GGATAAGTATTACTTACCTTTCTATTTTCACTTTATCTATTATATTAACAAAATTGTGTCATTAAAATACATGGTTTTGTCATCATCAAAAAGGAGGAGATTTTAAGAATAAGATTTGATTCTACAATATAATCTCTGAGTTTTGATGATAACAAATGAGTATTTTGTATGAACAATTTTGATACTCTAATGTTTGTTATTGTTGAGTACTTAACAAACATGTTTTGCTTCTGATGGATGGCGTGACCAAGACATTAGAAGAGAATTAGTTCCGCTTTTGCGCTACACAAACTCTCTTGAACAGTAGCAAGACACTCCAGAAGGCTCTGAAGTGTAAGCTCTGATGTTTGTCTAAAGAAATCAGTCAGAAGATATGAAGACAAAAGTTTCTACTTAAGTCCAGATGCTGAAGACTCATGTTTCTAAAGATAACTGGTTCTAAAGAAACAGTCAGAAGATCTGAAGACATAAGTTTCTACTCATGTCCAGATGCTAAAGACTTAAGTTTCTAAAGACTCAAGGTTCTAAAGATAAGGGTTCTAAAGACCAAGTGTTGAAGACTCTAAAGACAGAAGTTCTAAATATTCTAAAGACTTGAAGTTATAAGGACCCAATGTTCCAAGAAAAGGTTCTCATAACCAAGTGTTGAAGACTCTGAAGACGCATTTCTGAAGACTCTGAAGACTTGAAGTTCTGATGACCTTGTGTTATGTTCTCGCTTCTAAACTCATGCTCGCATAAGCCTCTCAAGTGCATAAGGAAAGAAGATAATGTTAACATGGTACAATCAACATTTCATTCCACTACCATGAAAGGATGGATGTGTCACCTGATCTTGTCCTCCATGTTACTGTTCAAGCTGCCAATCTTTCTAGAAATCCCAAGAATACCCCTCAACGGATATATTATATTATTTTATTGGCTATATAAAGGCTTGAAGACTAAGAGAGAAAGCTGACAATCAACGAAATATCCATTCACAAAGCGTTGTTCATCGCTTTCATATTCTTAAGTCACTGTTCTTAAAATAGTTTACCTATCCAGCTTGTGTAGAAGCAATATTCTTGTAAGCAAAACTTGTATTTAAACGGTTGTTTGATTTTCCTTAAGGGACTGGGTAGGTCTGTATCCTTAGGAAGTCTAGGACTTACAAGTTTTAGAGGTTGTTAGTCACTTGCGGGTAGCTTGTGTAGTGTAATAATCAGGTTGATTATTGTTTGATATTTCTTAAGGGACCGGGTAGGTCTATATCCTCAATACGTCTAGAACTTGTGTGTCTTAGAGGTTGTTAGTCACTTGCGGGTAGTTTGTGCAAATTGTAATCAGTTTAATTATAATGAATTAAGTCCTCGATTGAGTGAGAGAAATCAGCTTGACGGGTCGACTAGACTAGCTTGATAATTTTCAACTGAACTAGTATAAACATACCTTGTTCTTTACTTCCTGTTCTTACTTATTGTTATTATCAAGAGTGAAGGAGAAAGTATTTTAACTTAAAGGGGAATAATTTTTTTATAGAATTTTTTTTTATTTAAAACCCAATTCACCCCCTCCCCTTTCTTGTGTTTTTCACACCTTCAAATAACACTTGGGAACTGATCAAGAAACCTGCTGGAGCTAGGTTAGTCAGTTGTAAATGGATTTTCAAAGTTAAGGAAGGAATCGAAGGAGTAGCGTCAAAAAGATACAAGGAAAGATTGATTGCAAGGGGTTTCACTTAGAAAGAAGGTGTCGAATTCAATGATGTTTTTTCTTCTGTTGTAAAGCACATGCCCATTCGAATGTTGATTGCCATGGTGGAATAGTTCAACCTTGAACTAGAACAAATGGATGTGAAGACTATGTTCTTGTATGGTGATCTAGATGAAACAATACTGATGAGGTAACCTGAAGGGTATGTCGAAAAGTGAAAAGAATATTATGTGTGCAATTTGAAAATATCATTATATGGGCTGAAAGAATCTCCTCGATAGTGGAATAGGAGATTTGACAAGTTCATGGCACGCATAAGTTTCATTAGAAGTCAGTTCGACCACTACTTATTTCAGATTTCGACATGGTAATTCATTTGTTATTTTGTTGCTTTATGTTGATGATATTCTCATAGCAAGAAACAATGTAGAAGATGTAATGAGGGTGAAGGTTGAACTCAATAAGGAGTTCGAAATGAAGGATTTGGGAGCTGCATCCAGGATTCTTGGGATTGACATCCGAAGAGATAGAAAGCAGTCAAAATTATGCTTATCTCAAGAGGCATACATATGGAAGATTCTTAAGAAGTTTGGTTTGTCGAATTCAAAGCCTGTTGTGACTCCAACAAACCCTCAATTCAAGATGAGTATCGATCAGTGTCCCAGTACTAAGGTCGAAAGATCTTATATGAATAATATCTCATATTCTAATATAGTAGGTTCTTTGATGTATGCTATGGTCTGTACTAGACCCGACATAACATATGAAGTAAGTCTTGTAAGAAGGTACATGGCGAATCTTGGAAAGACTCACTAGCAAGCATTGGAGTGGATTCTAAGGTACATAAATGGGTCTCTGAACAGAGACTTAATTTATGATGGAGCCTTAGGTGAAGATAGTAAAGCAGTAATCGAATGACATGTCGACTCTGATTATGCAGGTTGTATGGGTTCCGAAAAATCCATTTATGGATATGTTTTCACTATGTTTGGCACAACAATCAGTTGGAAATCGACACTTCATAAGGTTGTTGCCTTATCAACCACTGAAGAAGAATATGTTGCTCTCACTGAAGTTGTGAAAGAAGCATTATGGCTTGAAGGTTTTGCTAAGGAGCTAAAACTTCAAGGTCAATTTATCACTGTTAAATGTGATAGTCAAAGTGTAATACACATGTCAAAAAATTCAGCCTATCATGAGCGAACCAAGCACGTCGATGTGAGGTTACATTTTGTCATAGGGATAATCGAGCGTGGAGAAGTTTAAGTGCTGAAGGTTTTAACAAATCACAATGTTGTTGATATGATCACAAAGACATTATCAAGTTGCAAGTTTTTCCATTGTATGCAGTTTATAAAGCTGCATGAAGACAGCTAGTTGGTTCTTTGATGTTAGAATTTGATTCAAGGTGGAGATTTGTGAGATATTAGATCAAACTCTATTGGGTCGAAGAGTAGCTTCTGGTTCAACAGGATTTATGCATGTCGTCGAAGTATGTTCACATGCTGGTATCGAAAACCCACATAATATAGTCGAAATGTGTTCTAGTATTTGGGTGTCGAAATGCTAGGGTTTTTAGTATTTCGAATTGGTCCTGTTTGTTATGTCCAATTGTTTAAGTTAGCTTGTACCCCAAGTTAGTTTGTATGAGTATTTATGAAAAAGCCCATTAGTTTAGTATGTTAGGTTTATTATAAATAGCATATTAGTGACTCATCATTGCATACTACAAATCCTAATTTAGGGTGAGAGAGTTATTTGTTATTCTTGTGTACTTGTAATCTTGTTTGAAGAGAAAGGAAAGAATAGCAGTTAATAATCAATCCTTGTTGTTCTTTATGTTTTTCATTCTTTTCTATCATTGTGGGCCTCTTGCCTTGAAGAACCCTGTTATAATTTGTTTTAAAGGTATCGTGTTTCACAACAGAAGACAACGTAGTTCTGTACTTAGTCATTTATGCGTTATCAAATAACAATAAAACTCATCATATTTAGACAATAACTTTCCATCTAATATCTAAAAATAATATTAGAGAAAAGTAGAATAAAAAACATAAAATATTAGCATACAACAATATCAAAAACATTATAATGAAATAGGAAAAACATATGAGATGAAAGATTAGAGAAGATGAAAAAAAAAAGAGCAGAAGAGAAGAGAGATTAGAGTAGAAGAGGCGCATTAAAAATGTAATTGGAAGAGAGAACAATAGAATAAAAAATAAGAAGATGAAAAAGAAAAACATAGGAGATGAGAGACTAGAGTAGAAGAGGTGAAATGCACACGGAAAAGAAGATGGTGCGATACCGCTAAGAGAGATTTGAGAAGACTTAAATAGAAACCTTAAGTATGAAGAAGAGAAAATCATTTATAATCGTAAAGTTAAGGCATAATAAGTTTAAGTTTGAGTTAGATATGAGCTAAGTGAAGTTTTAGTTGTAACATAATACGGTTTAGTTCGGTTTGTAAAATACAAACTGCAAACTAAACCGAACTGTACAATTTTGTTAAAAAATGACCTAAACACATCTGAACCAAATGTGATTTTTTTAGATTTCAATTTGCTTTAATTCGGTTTAATTAGCTGTTTTTTATTGAACCAATTCGATTTTGAATATCCCCTAAATTGAGTTCACTTAAACTTAAAAATAAACAAGTAGAAAATCACATGCTCGAACTTAGAACCCTGCATCTATGTCTCTGCACATCTACGAATTAAACTAACTTAATAAAATTTCCACAAATTTAATTCAATCAACACATACCCCGGCTCACCCAGATGTTTCCGTTCTAGCTTATTTTGCTATATTTTCTTTTTACTAAAAGACCCAACAGATTTTATTGGGTTTCAAAATATTCAGACATGTAATTAATTTTATGTGTGAACATAGAATTATAGATTTGGACACTGTCTCATGCTACCAGATTTGAATCCTCTTATGGACACTGTCTCATGCTACCTGTTCCACATTAATCTCAACAGTTGATCACTTTTTTTTTTTTTTCCTCTCTCTCTCTTTAAAACTAATTCTTTTTATTTATTTGTTTTCCAATGGTCTTTCAACCATTGAATCATAAAGGGATTGCTGGATATATGGGCAAAAGAGGAGAAGACATCCATTGATTAGACCCAAAAAAAAAGGTTTATCATCGCCATTCAAAAGTCACCATACTAATAATTCAAATTTGACATATAGTAACAACAAATAACATACAACTAAAGCACATTCACACACACATACACTTAACATTCTTCATCTTCAAAAAGATGAAATCCTTATTGCTGAAACATCTTCATTCTTCAAGATCATTCTGCTGCCTTAACTGGCTTAACAAGTGTCGATGGAAAATCCAGTAGCACAATATTTTCAATGGCCGCTGAAAATTTTTCAGAAAACTCAACATGGTTTGGATGGCTCTGAAATGCAGCAAAATCTTCTTTCTTGTTGAAAGTCATCAAGAATGCATGAGTGAAACCTTGTCTCAACACATCTAGGCTTTCAATATCTTGTCCCCTATTCAACACATGCATGGTTACTTTTAACATCGCATCTAAAATATACGCTATTAAAAATGTTTAACCGAATAAATATATATAATACATACCATTCAAAGGATTTGACAAGATCAATCTCTGAGACTAGCTTCTCCATTCCTTTTGTAAGGTCTTCTACTACTACACCTTCTTTGAACTTAACAATCACAAAATGCTTGAATTCCTCCATTTTTGTGAAGAAAGCTTGTTACTAGGAGGCTAATATATATACACAATTTATGCTTCAAAGTTCAACTTACCTCACTGTCTAAATCTGTCAAAACTGTCACAACCCCACGACCCATTTCATGACATGTTGGTACTAATCAATTAGATAAATACTCATCTCTTTTAAAACTTAAAGTCAGTGTTATTTTAACAAATAAAATTTATTTTAAAATTGAGCAGATTAATATTTTAAGTCACTATTCTCAATCATGTCTTTTACGTCTCATTTCTTTTTCTTTTTCTAGATTTTTATAGAACGAATCTAACACCAATATGCTTGTTTGTCATTCTAATTTATTTTTAAAAATTGTAGGGGACAGCATCCACGGCTAAATCTTAGGAAAGGTACTACATCTTTTCGTTTTACTGACCCACCATGGACCAACTTCTTTCTATCAAACAGTGAAAAGGTTGTCTAGTTTCATTGTCTCGTGGCACATGAATGGAGGGCCCTTATTTGCTTTTATTTTGAAGATTTTTTTTTCCATTTTATAATTCTAAACTTTATCACGTAAAATTATTTAAATATTATTTAAAATTAAAGATATATTTTTTATTCGCACTATATTAACCATAAAAAATATGAGAAAATTGGATGGAAATCGAAAATATATATCCGATTACACTCCAAACACAATTGTGACTTAGAAATTCAAATTACAAATGATATATAAATAAAAAATACACTAATAATATAAATCAAAAATATATTTTTAGTTTTTAATTAATATTTAATCGAAAATAATGCGCATCAGAAATTGCATTTATTTTTACTCATACAAGTTAGAGTGTGATATTTGGGCTCACTCAATCAGAAAACATCATGATCATATATGGAAGAACCTTTTCTTCCTTTAGTAGCTTTTCCTTTTGAAAGATGTGTAGAAAAGCAGTGATTGAGTTTGTGTTTGTGTGGTTGAACTTTTCTCCATGTCTTAACCATGTGCACTACATTATTGTACTTGAGTAGCTTTCACATATTCAATTGATTACTTCCTATTTCATAAATTAACTTTTTTAGTAATTAATAATTATTCTTGAATGTTCCTCAATTACTAAGGTTTTAATTTGATAGTTTAAAGTGTTTAATGGATATATATTGATTTACACGATTGTTTAATAAAAAACTATCCCTTTATCATATTATATTAATATTTTAAAATATATATTTGATTTGAATTTATTAATTGATAGTATAAAATTCAATGTACATTTTATTTTCTCTAATTTATAACAAATAGAAAAAAACTACAATATACATGTGTGAGATTGCACAAAATTAAACTAAAGTAGAGATTCTAAATCATTGTTTGAATATATTACATCAGCTCAAATAAATTTCTGGCATCACTTCATTCCACAATATTCTATCAATTCAAAACAAAACTTAACACTCTATGTTAAAAAACAGCGGCTTAAGACTAAGTGGTCCTTATTTGACATTAAATAAAGATTTTTGCTATTTAAACACTTAGTTTTAGATGTCATATGTCATCTCCATCTTTCCCTTATTTACTCCAAAAAAAAAATTCATTTACGATGTGAATATCATATTACAATAGTTAATATTATATCATAAATACTTTTTGCGACGTGACTAAATATGTTATAAAAGGGTGTGTAATAATTTATTAATGACATGATAATCATATCACTGAAAATATCGTAAAAGAAGTTTTTTCTTATAAGGATTTTTCTATCTTATACACTTTCACAAATTTTAAAAATAAACAAATATACTCCAAAATAATGAGGGGTGCCTTTTGGTGTCTCAATTTTGAATATTTAAATATTGATTTCACTTAAATAAATTTAGATATAATTTCAAGTGAATTGGTAATAATTTATAATTATTAATATAATTTAAGGATAATACTACACTATTACGAATAATCTATTTTATTTCAGTTAAGAAAATGCTATTATATGTTGTAATTAATAATAGTTAATGTTCTTGAGTGTGTTTCAAAATCACAAGAAAAACAAACAAGTGAGTTAATGAAAAATAAATGTATGGAAAATAATCTCACATAAAAAATATCATTCTTTTTTAAAGCCTTTATAAAGAGTTACATTCATTAATTCAACAAAAGAACTAAAAACCAAGCACTTGGGCTCGAGTAGTAAACGAGCTCCTGCTAAGGAACGAAGGTTTAGAGAATATCGAGTTTGATTTCTGGTGGGAACAACACTTGCCAGTGCCAAGACCTCTCAGCACGAGCTCTAGATTAATGAGGTCTCATTCCTCTGAGAGCCAGAGTGCGAAAACAAAAGAAAAAAGAGCTAAAGAGGATAAAGTGTCACATGAAAAAATATGTTGGTCTCATGTCTTATGGCACTTGTCTCCTCCATACACGTCTCACAAGGGTGTTGTTTCATCAAGGGTCGCAACCTTGTGAAACAACACTAACTTGACCTATAAATTGATCATTCAGGATTCATAAAACACATTTACATAAATCATACATCCTCTTTAATAAAATTCCAGATTATCTTCCCTATATTCAATTTTTCATCGATCTTGTGCAAACTTGAGTATAGACTGAATTATCTTGGGTATTCCTGCATGGAAACTCTAAGATATTTGAGAGTGCTTGAAATACTATAAAGAAAGTAATTCATTCACCGTTCCAACTTGGATCTATTCAATCTAGAAGCTTTATCTAACAGTCTTGTAGTATCTCAAATTATGGCGACCGGGGCTTCATTTTCAAGCATCAAAGCGATGAACCAGGACCTTGTCAAATTGGATCATTTTGATGGAACAAATTTCCCTTGTTAGCAAAATAAGATGATATTTCTCGTGACTTCCTTGAAGATATTATGTCCTTGATCTTGATTTGACACCAATTTCGAAACCAAATGAAGATGATACTGATGAAGCCAAAAGGGAACGTAAGAAACAAAAGGAAAATGAATTGGTATGTCGTTGACATATTTTGAACACATTATTTGATGGTCTTTATTATCTATAAACTAATACCTAATCTACAACAAAGATCTAGAAAGCACTCAAATTCCAATTCAAGGCTGAAGAGGAAGGTATGAATTTTTTTTAATATCTAAATACTTTGATTTTAAAATAGTGGATTCGAAGTCGATTCTTGCATAAGTACACGAGTTACAGGTACTCGTAAACAAAATAAAAGTTGTAAAAATAGACATTCTCGAAGCTTTCAAAGTCGGTGCAATTATTGAAAAGTTACTACCTTCATGGAAAGGATACAAGAAATTGTTGCAGAGTGTTGTACCCTAAAATTTTCCCTCCCATTTTATTCAAGGGAATTCCTCTAAGATTCTCAAATACTCAAGGATTCTCAAGAGTTGATTAGACAAACTCACCTACTAAGCATTGGGTCCACAACTAGGGTTTCATATTGTACAAGGAAGATTGGGTTGCAAAGGTGTCAAAGGACTTTCATGGTTCATCATAGGTTCTCAACAATTCTGAGGTCAAGTTTCAAGCCTTGCCTCACATGTTTGCTCAGTCAATGGCTCAGATGACTAAAAATCAACTGCATTGGGTAAAAAGTCAATTGTGGTCAACATACAGTCAAACTTCAAGATTCTTGGTCAACATTAACATTTTGAAGTGATATTCATCATTTGATCAAGGTTTGACCATGATTTCTCAAGGAAAGCCCTCAAATCATCAAAGGTTAAAAATTGCCAAAATTAGGGTTTTGACTTAAGATGACTGATCATTGACTGTTGACCTAGTGCATGACCTAATAGCTTGAAGCATGATCTTAAGGACTCAAATACAACATCTTTACATAATTATATGGCTCAAGATATTTCTAAAGATACAAGTGATTGATACTTGAAAATTTGAATCAATTGATGAAAAGTCAACAGTCATACAAAAGTCAAACTTGACTTTTTGGTCAACATTGGAATTCAAAAATCAAGAATCATCAAGACATTCAAAATTATCAAACTTGATCATCAAGAATCAAAAAGTCAACAAAAGTCAAATTTGGAAAATTTTCTAACACTTAGAAAAATTCTAAGTGTTTTTGTTCTAAACAAAAACCATAACTTCACAAGTAAGTTTCCTCAAGATGCATGATGATTCAAGGAAAGCTTTCAACATGAAAGTTGTAGGGATTTATGAATTATACAAATTTGTTAATGTGGGATGATCCTCAAAAAGTGCTTAACTTAAGAGATATAAGCTCATGAAGTTATGGTGTTTTTATCCAACACTTAGAAATTTTTTTACAAGTTTTGATCAATTTTTTATCCCAACTTCATGGCCATTTTTCACCAAGATCCCAATTGATTTAGCCAAAATGGTCAACATGAAAGTTTAAAATCATGTTTCAACTTTCCAAAATGTCCAAGAACACAAAGAGATCATGCTTGATCTAGAAGTTTCGAAGACATGAAGTTGGGCATTCTTGAAATATAAGTCATCCTTGTGAAAACCTAATGACCAAATCTCATAGCCTTGCCTTGTAATCTCATCTTTGCAGGCCTTTAACCTCTAAATCTTGCTATAATAAGAAGATTACACAAGCTTTTGAGCTATGATCCAAGTGATTAAAGCTTTGTCCAAACTTACTTGCCATTTAAGGGAGAAAGGTCACATTGTCATTTTGATAAAGTGATTGTATACACAATGTCAACTCTCCTTGAGCCATACATTGTTGCTTCTGACTTCAAAACATCTCAGCACCAAGAAGCAACCATCTACAGCCTATCAACCATCCTACATTGCCTTGGAACCATGACTTTACAAGTTACTTCAAAACCAAGCTTCAAAACCATAACATGCTATCTTGAAATTCTGGTTACTTCAAGCCCTCAAACCTTTTCTCTATAAATAGAGAGATCATTTGCAAGCTAACACACGAGTTCAAAAGCCCTCTAACCCTCTCAAACTCTCCCAAGTCATAATTGGAGAAAACCTCCATTTTTTAGCTTTTTGAAACCTTATCTTCGAATCTCTCAAACCTT